TTCTTAAATAACCATGATACTAAATAACTTAATTTAACTTGTGTGTGTAAGATGTAATCATAATAAATGATTGTCGTATTCAAAATTAAAATTTTCATTTTAGTTGGAAAATGAACATCCGTAGTATGATTCATAGTAAAACAATAGAGGTTTCAATTTTTAATGTTTTTTTACAGATTTGTTAATTCCGGTTCAGATTATTCGGTATTAGAGACAAAATGTAATGAAATAAAATAAAAAAATATATTTTGAATTCGGATTTGGTTTGGTTTTTGTCGTTTATATATATATATATAGATGTATATATATGTATGTACATACATATACGAAGAGTGGCCCTCAATTATCCTCTGATTCTCTATGTTTGATTTTGGTCCAAGTATTCTTGTTGGACCACAGGCTGTTTATGTTTTTATGCTTTCAGCATAATCGCACATACATGCTGCATGCCGACCTCATTCCACTAGACGACAAATGCGATATAATATATATACATATGTATGTATATATATATATATATATATTTAATAACAAAATATACACAACACTACTTCCTCATTCCACTAGACGACAAATGCCATATAATATATATATATGTATATATATATATATATATATATTTAATAACAAAATATACACAACACAAGTACTTTAAGGGATCACTATATCTTACAAAGAAAAGTCATTATGTAGACTAAGTTTTTCAACTAATCTAATCATGTCTTAACTGCCACTAATACACCACTTAAGCATATCGTTAACTAAGTAATCCATGTCTTCCTATATACGAAATTAATAGGATTACAGATTTACAAAAAAAAAAAAATACAAATTCTTTGTTATAACAAAATTCACCAAATCTAATATAACATTAAAAAAATGACAATATCTAGATTTTTATTCAAAATGGGATTCGGTACAAGAGATAAACTACAACATAAAATCGTACAAGCAAGCAAAAGGGTCATAATTATAGAACAGGTAATTTCCTTTTTTTCCCGTAAAAAAAAATAAATTAAGTTCCCAAAATTGGAAAAAGCAAATGACTCCAAAAACGCATACAAAAAGACAAAATAGGCAAACACGTTATAAAAGAGAGTGAAGCCTCATTCGTACAAGTGTCAAGCTCCTAATGGGCCGACATTAAATAATCATTGTCTTTTGTCTGAGTGGTGAAATGTAAATTTGAGGATGTGGAAAACCAATGGCCAGTTAAGTTTTGGTGGGTCTATTTCGCCTTTAAAAAAAAACAAAAACAAAATTCATAAAATTTTACTTTTTGTGGACATTGACATGAAAACAATTGGATCGCAAAATTATAATAAAAAAATAATAAATCATTTTTTTTAAACAAAGAGGACAAATAGGGCATGAAATGACAGTCAACAAGAGGATAAAATTAGATGGCCTTGAAGGTTATTTTCTAACAGTGCATTGTATATATAAAAAAAGAATCTATCAAAATATAATCCAATTGGTTTGATTTATACAGTCTGCGAATCTAAAATAATTACAGTTTTGCCCCGGGTAAAAATAATTTTCACGTGTTTTCTCTTGATTGCTTGGGGTTAGATTTGCCACAGCCACCTGAAAAATGTTGATAATCTTTGCTTTTATCCCATATAAACCGTATAAATGATATTTTCTTTTTCGTTGGAAAGTGATGAATGTCATAATGTTAGCAGGTTGGTCCATCAAAAAATATTTTTGAATATTAAATATAAGTGGCGTTTAGTACACTTGTGAGGAAAAACATGCCTCTCGGCACCCACTTTCTCCGGGGTTCAAATATCGGTTTATGTGAATTTAAAATTGTTCATAGACTGAAAGTGTTGTTAATAACAAAAGGAATTGGAAATAATCAATTACTATTTGCTCTTCAGGGCCAGGTCAGGTGGCAGAGGGCAGGGGGCAACTCCTTGAGGTGGGGGATCGATTCCTCCCGTCGCTCTCTCTTCCTCTGACATTCTCGCCTGTCAGCCTATCCTAATGGGCTGATTTACATCTCATGCGTGTGTTGCAGGCTCGTGCGTCGTGGGCTTGGGGTTTGACCCGCAGGCTCCTAAGCTCAACTACGGCCCGAACGTTAGGCGCGCTTGGTGGCTAGGTTCGGCGGACAGAGATCCATGGGGACCGTTAGGCGCGGGTGGTGGCCAGTTCGTCTCCGTTTGTAAGAGTAGGTAGTCACGGGGTTCCCCAATATTATCAAAAAAGAAAATCAATTACTATTCCGTTCAAGAATGAATATATATATGTATATATATATATATATATATAAAAAATCATAATCTTGTATATAGTCTAATCCGTATTCTTGTTACACTCTCTCATAATATTTTCTCGTTTGTCAATAAATTAAATAAAAAAACTGCGTTATTAAAAAGCGAAAGTCAGCAATTATAAAAGAATCTGAGATTCGGCCCTAGTTTGATTCCCAACATATATTATAAAATACGAAAAACGATCCACCTTTATAGTAACCAGACTAGATACACTCCTCCGAATTACATCCATCTCCCCGTCGTCCAAATTCAATGTTCTTTGTTTTATAGTATATTACATGAGAGACTTGGATGAATGAGAACCGTTTGAAAAAATAAAAAATTGTATATATTATATGGCGAGAAACCCATCAAGAGTGCATGGCATGACATCATCATTAAATGTCAAGAGATTCTAGGGCTGACTTTGTTTTCATGATGAATTTTTAAAAGCAGACTAAGTACTGATGTTTTAAGGACGATTAGGTGAAAATCAAGAAACGAAATCTTGAATTAGACGAAATACCCACCAATACAAAAGACGTGGGAGATGCGGATTTCGCAAAACGTTTTGATATTGAAATATATATCCCCTGAAATCAAGAGGTCCGAACACAATATCGTGTAGAAAATGGGTGTGGCATTGCCGATTGATATCGTCGGGCAAGGGGTGGTGCAGTGGTTAACGAAGTTTATTACAACCTCGTTAAGAGACAACCCTTCAAAGACAATGAATTTCTTTGTGTCATATATAACATGTAAATGGAATACACCATTGATGATTAATTTAAGGGCCAAAAGACATGATTAGGATCTTGATTATCAAGAAGAGCCAAATCGTATTCTAAGGCCGATGAAGATTTCAAGACTTCAAAGGGTTTAGTCTATGGCAAGGTTTTAATTAGGACCCAATTAAAAAAAAAGAGAAATTCCCAAAAAAATCATCCAATTTAGAGATAACTAGCAGATTCATCACGAATTTTTAAAACGCTTATATTCATACTGAATTTGATTTTTTTTTTCTAAAAATCATTCAGAATTTGAGTTTTAACAAATTTCTCATTGGTGCCGAATTAAATTTGACATGTAGGCAGAAAATGCTTACGTGGCATCTACGTGGCATGTTCTAACTCGCCACGTAGGATACACGTCATATTAATAATAAAAAATGTAAAAAATATAAAAATTGTAAAAATTGTAAAAAAATTATAAAAAATTGAAAAAATTGTAAAAAACTTGTAAACAAATGGTAAAAATTGTAAAGAAATTGTAAAAATTTTAAAAACCGATTTAAAAATCTCCACTCCATTCCGATTTTTACAACATTTTTTATGAAATCGTTTTTTCAATTACCATTCCTTTCATATATATCACCTCCACCAATTATATTTATATATAATTTTTTACAATGTTTTTAAAATTTTTACAATTTCTTTAAAGTTTTACATCTTTTACAATTTGCTTACAATTTTTTACAATGTTTGGAAATTTTTGCAATTTGTTTTACAATTTTTACAATTTCTTTATAATTTTTACATTTTTTATAATTTCCTTACAATTTTTTACAATGTTTTTACAATTTTGGAAATTTTTAAAAATTTCAATTTTTACAAATTTCAACTTTTACATTTTTTTTAAAATTTTTTTAATTTGTTTTAATTTTTTTTTAAAATTTTTAAATTTTTTTAAATTTTTTTATAATTTTTTATTATTAATCTAATGTGTATCCTACGTGGCGAGTTAGCACATACCACGTAGGGCGCCACGTAAATATTTTTTGTCTATGTGTCAAACTTAATTCGGTGCCAATGAAGAATCTGTTAAAATTCAAATTATGAATGATTTTTTTTTAAAAAAAAATTAAAATTCAGTATGAATATGAATGTTTTAAAAGTTCGTGATAAATCTGTTAGTTATCTCTAAATTGGATGATTTTTTTGGGAATTTTCCTAAAAAAAATACTTACGGTAGATGTTCAGATAATTTGATGTGATTAATCCAATAATGATCTCACAAGAAGAAGGAAAAACATTTTTTCGGTATTTTACTTGTGAATTAAATGAATTAAAAAAGGTCATTTTCCCTAATTTTAATCTCTCAACTCTTAAATCCTTGTTTTAATATCCAAACTTTCAAAAATTTCGCAGTTTAATCATTAGTAACAAGGCTTGTAACTCAAGTTGAGTGGCTTGACGGGTAAGAAAATGAGGAAAGCTCATTCCCAAACCAGTTTTGAATCTTCACTTGTGGAGGGACATTCATATGGATTTCTCCGATCCTTTGCAAAATGTAGTTGGACCAAAGATACGATAAACTTCCAAATTATAAAAAAAAAATAACGAAGCTCGTAAAAATGGCCAAGAGAAGGACGTTATTTTGAATTGTTTTTTTTTTTAAATTTAGTTGGTAAAATTGTCACAATACGTCGATTTGTCATTTTGCAAAATTTGGCTATTATAATATATAGAATCTTACAAATTTGGATATTAGAATAAAATTAGAAGTTAGAATTCTAACACGAAGAAAGACACTGGTTTTTACAACCAACGGTTAACATGTGCTTTTAAGGAAAGCAGTTGAGTTATTCGTGCAAGGATAATATTGTAATTCATCTTGTAGTTTCCGTGAACAACTTATCTATATATATATATATATATATATATATGTGTGTGTGTATATGTTACCACATAATCAACATGAGGCATTACTACATGAAATTCATATTTCCTTTTTTTCATTCTGCTATATATATGTCACAGGATCCTCCATACAAGAAGGCATACAACTCAATCTTCAAAATGTATAGCTCAAGATCAAACGTTCCAAAGAAGCTCCCCCCTGTTCAAGGCGATGATGCAACGCTCCCTTTGATCGATCTCAGCCGTCTATTTTCGGGCGAGATCGAGCACGAAAGATGCGTGGAAGAGATGGTTGAAGCGGCGAGCGAGTGGGGATTCTTCCAGGTTGTGAACCACGGAGTTCCTCAAGAGGTCTTGGACATGGTGTATCATGAAGGAAGGAAAGTGTTCGATCAGCCATGTTCCGAGAAAACCCGAGAAAATTTCTTGAACCTTTCGAAGAACAGTTACCGGCGGGGAAACCCTAACGCCACTTCTCCATCGCAGTTTTTTTGGTCCGAAGCTCTTCAGATCGATCTTACAGAGATTCCAAATTTGCCCGAAGACAACAAGAATCTCAGGTTCTTTAGCTCTTTCCAGACCCTTATTATTATTTAGACGTGTTCTTTCTTTGTTTCATTTTCAAGCTTATTTGATTGAATATCTACCAAGGTTATCTCAATTGGTGCATTCTCTTTCAGGGCAAAGTTCTTGGCCTGTCATGATTAGTGGTCCGGCACTGCAAGACTCGTTTAGAAACATTGGAAGAAAAAAAATACTTATATAGTTTCAGCCTAATACTCTAATTAATTATATTTTGAAAGTTTGGTGTTTTTTAATTTCTTTAGATGGAATCCGAAATGATTACCCTTTTGCATTTGGTGGAAACTTAATAATCTATGATGTCCCAATCATTCCATGTCGCACCAACTCTCATGTTTTTTTTTTGTGGGGGAGATGGATATGGCATGGCGTTTACACCACATACAACTGGCTTCACATATTCTCTCGTTGCAATAACATATAACATAATCGCATGTCCAAATGATGCAATGTAACTATAGTATTAATTTCATTTTGGGAACATACATATACGCATGTGTACCGTTATCTTATGCATGCATGAGATGTGATAACCTGTTGTTTGTGTTTTTCAGAACTGCACTTGAAGCTTGCGTGCAAGAAATGACGAGGTTGGCTCAAATGATGTGCGAGCTGCTCGGGAAGCGAGTGAAAGTGAAGCCGAATTATTTCGAAGAGAATTGCATTCCGGCAAATAGTAACATAAGGATCAATAAATATCCTCCATGTTTGTCGGATTCGGAAATAGTCGGTCTGATTCCTCATACGGATACCGATTTCATCACCGTTCTCTCTCAAGATACGGTCGGAGGCTTGGAACTGAAGAACGATGGACGGTGGCTAGCCGTCAAGCCACGGCCCGACGCCTTGATTGTGAACATCGGCGACTTGTTTCAGGTACGTCATCTTATGCTCTCTTTTTTTTATGGGACAAGATCTATATATATATATATATATATATATGGTCTTTATATAGCCGGTCAAACCTCACACAAGATCAACCCATTTCCATCCTCTTCTTTTGCCTATTCTTAACCAAAAATCAGAATGGGTTTCCTTATAGAGACGATATAGATATGTCTTTTCTCATAAGCTTTTGATCATATGGACATTCATAAGCACTCACACATGGAACTATACGCCACACAAGGTAAAAGATTGAAACGGAAAGAGAAAATAAAAAGACGAAACATATAAATATATATGCATGTATTAACGCCATATGCATAGGTGCATACGGGGATGGAATAAAATAAAACGCCTAGATCCAGTTATGTCACTCGCATCAAACTCTAGATCGCAAAAAATAATATTAAATTGATACAAATATATGTAGAAAAACATAAGGATTTCTCTAGATTCTACAACGAAGCGACCGTACAAAGCAACTTTTAAAGTACGATTTTTTCAACATTTTCCAAAGGAACTCATGGGTTTCCAACTTTGAAAAGATTTTTTGTAGAATTTTATGGATACAATTTGTTTTTTTTTATACGATAAGCACCATATCCAGAAGGTTCTAAAGATTGTATGAATCTAACACGAAAATAACACCTAAACAGTGAATGAAATGAAATCTGTTAATGTCTCATAAAATACCACAAAATCCTAAAAATCTAACAACGACCCCCCCGAGTTATTTTAGCAATGGTTCAATAACCACTAGGGTTCAGGAATAATCTCAGAAACACAATCTAATCTAAGAGGAAAAGACAAGTAAACCTGTTCTAAAAAATATTTGGTATAAACAAAAATAAAAGGAATAACAGGAGAGGAGAGAGAAATAGAAAGAAAGGGATGGAGAGACGGACTCTATCATCAGCCAGTGGAGATCTGATGATGAAGAGAGAGAGACTCTTCGCTCCGTCACTGGAGATCTGTTGAATATATATATATATATATATATATATATATAGAGAGAGAGAGAGAGAGAGAGAAAGAAACTCTAAGCTCAGTATCAAAGGAGATCTGATAATGAAGGAGAAAACTTCTTCCGACAATGTGGCGAGCTCCAATGTCTCCGGAGAACTCGAGCGATAAACCCATCTCCGGTTTCATAAAATCTTGAATCTCAAAGTGAAACCACAAAATCTTGTGTCCTTCATACGCAAAAAAAAAAAACCAGAAAAAAGTTTACCAAAAAAAAAAAAAACCCAGAGAAATGAGAAAATGGAGAATGGGAAACTGCTATGACCTAATAAGCTGTCTTGAGTTTCGAAACCCTAGCTAAAGGTAGATAATGATGACAGGCGTTTTCACGATCCTACCATATCTCTTTATTTTATTTTGATAAAAAAAAATATATATACACAAAAATGGAGATATTATTTGTAGTAGATCCAAAAATAAAACCCACAAAAAAATGAGGGTATTGAAACAACGTCGTTTTGGCAGGCTACACTATTTTTTTTTTTGTAATAAGAAAAAAAATACGAAATCGTGTCGTTTTGTGAAAGATTCAGACAGTTGGGTTCTGATAATGAAGAACAGGTGCTGAGCAATGGGTTGTACAAGAGCATCGAGCACAGGGTGGTTTCTTCTCGACGGTGCAGAGAGAGATTGTCGATAGCTTTCTTCTTCAGCCCCGACCAAGACGTGGAGATCGAATGTGTCGGAAACCCGAAACTGTACCGAAGATTCACTCTCAAAGAGTACAAAGAGCAGATCCGACGAGATGTTAAAGCAACAGGAGACAAAGTAGGGCTTGCCAGGTTTCTGGTGGATGAACCCTAAAAAACCTATGATGAGTCCAAACGTTTAGTAAAGGTTGGGCGATGGGTTTTGTAAAGTGAAAAAAATGTATCGGTTTGGTTATATATAACCATAAGATTTTGAGCCTCTTATAAACAACCATACATACATATATATATGAAATGATTTGTAGGCGCATTTTATGGCATTAAATTATGGGCATTAACTGGTTTCACTTTCTGGTCTGTTGTTTTTTTAGAAATTTGTTTTTGTCAAAAATGGAAAATGCTAGGCATTATAATTTACAAAACGACTGATTATATAGGTGATTTTTTCAAATATGCCAAATGTTACAATTATTATTATTATTATTATTATTATTATTAAAGATTGTTTCTATTTGATTGATTAAAGCCTGTACAAACCAAAACAGAAAAAAGAAATAGTAATAGATAAACCTAAGCTCTAATATATCATTTTCAACGCTCTCCACAAATTTAAAACGCAAAAACACTAAAAAAAATTGAGGTCTTCAAATTTTGACGGCGTATCCTATCAACAAATTTATCATCTTCGAATTTCTTCAGAATATCAAAATCTCTTAAAACATCAAACTCACATACTTAGAAGATGGATGTGTCAGAAAAGCACTGGCAAATTAAAATACGCCACAAATATATTTACGGATTAATAAAAATAAATATTTTCATCGATTTTAGGAACAATTTAATGATTAGAGAAAAAAAACGCGATAATTAAACGAAAAAATAATCAAACCGTATAAGTTTGTTTTTGTTCTCTTTTTTCAAAGCAATATAACTCTAAAATTAGGGCTGGCGTTTCGGTTCGGTCTTTTGGAACCGGACCGAACCGAACCGTTAAAACGGTATTTTTTCCAACCCGAAACCGCTGTTATTTTCCTAACGGTACTATTTTTAGAGAACCGAATTTTTCCGGAACCGAACCGAACCGAACCGAATTTTAAAAATCCCGAAAAACCGAATATTTTTAAAGAAAATATATCATTTTTTTAATAAAACCCGGAACCGAACCGAACCGAACCGAATACAATAAAAAACTCGATTGGTACCTATTTTTGTAAAACCAAAAGAACCGAACCGATCCATTCTGTCCCGAACCCGAACCGTTTCCCGAAACGCCCACCCCTATCTAAAATTATGCACATTATCATCCCCTTCATCTCCGTCGACTCGTTCTTAGAATATCAACCTAGAGAAAAGTTTAATGTTGTGGCATCATGACATTATGCATGATAACTGCATTTATTATTTTGGACAAGTGAATTAGTTCAAATAAAAAAAAATAATTTAATTTTATTAAAATTACTAATTATATAAGTAAAAAAAATTTATGCAATAAATAAATACAGATAAAATAGAAAATATAAGTATATATAAATTAAAACTCTTGGTAATGGTCAATAAGATGATATAAATGAGATGAATTTTATATATACACACACTGAAGCGACAGACAGTGACAGGCCTTGTCCACAGCAGGTAAATGAGATGGGCTTAAAATTAAGATTAGGCCCATTTAGGCCCAAACGAAGCCAGATAAAAAAAAAACAGAAAATAAAAAAAGGAAAAAAAATACTAATTCAGGATTATTAAAAAAAAAAAAGAGATCTCGTGCTTTATTATATACACGCACACTACATTTTTAAACATATAAAAATTCATGAAGATTTATTATTTTATCAAATTTAATAATTCAGGATTATTTCCACATTAGAACTTTGAACCATATTCAAGATTTAAAGGCCTTCAAAAGAGGCTATGTCCGAAAGCATTCCATGCACTTGGGCCAGGCTTCAATGGTGCGTCTCTCACGCACAATTATAAGTATCGAATATATCGGTATAATAAATGTTACACATCTGAAATATTGGATCCGAACCGGACCCTTAGGAAACCAAACCGAATTCTGAAATGTTCGAACATTTTTTTTTTCGGTTATGCAAAATTAAGTTGAATGATAGAAAACTATTTGTGTATGAAATCTAATATAAAAAATCGTTTAACTATAATTTTTTTTTTGTGTGTAAAAATCATATACATTTAATTGTTTGGTCGTTTTTGTTATATTCGAATTCGGTTTCTGTTGAAAAAAATATTATTTGTTCTACAACAATTTTGTATCTTCGTTAGCTTTTACGGTTATTTTTATATTTGATTTTTTTTTTGTAATTTTAATAGATTATTTTGATTTTTAAAATAGATTAAATTCATTTAAATATTAGTCTAAGCCAAAAATCCATGTACATTGTAAATTTGAAAACTAAAATTTTATTTATAGATTTAAAACTAAAGCATCAACCTTTTTTTCTCTCCGAATAAATAAATTTGTTTTTTATTGTAATAATTCCAGAAATGGAGTGAATAAGTGAAAATGGAACAATTGGACAAAGTTTTGAATATGTAAATTCCAATTTCCAACTACTAGCAAATTACAAAACATAACTTTTTTCCAACGTTCGGTTTTTACATTTTTTTTTCCCATGTGGCTGCCCTCCGACTCTAGGCAAAGCCCAAAGGTCATGAAAAGTTGCAAGTGATATTAAAAACGACAAAAAATATATTAATAAAAACAATCACGAAAAAATTAAGACAATAATACAAAGGCTTATATGATTGGTCCATTTAAGTCAAGTCGAAGACAAATATTATAAAAACACAAAAGACAATGAAAAGAAATACATTCTCACAAATTCCATCCACAAAATAGGATCCTCGGATCTAGAAACTCAACCTCAAGGTCACGCCCATGGCGGAACCTAGATCATGTTGCAGTGCCTGCACCACCATCGTACTCTCACTTGGCTTGACATCTCTGTTCTTATGGCTAAGCCTTCGCCCCGACAAACCCAAATGCTCGATCCAATACTTTTACGTTCCCTCCCTCAACAAAACCCTCGATTCAAGTCAAAACACCTCTCTGAATTTCATGGTTCGCCTCGATAACCCTAAAAAAGACCAAGGAATCTACTACGACGATGTCCGTTTGTCGTTTTTCAACTCCTCCTCGAGAACCCATTTCTTGGGCAACTACACGATCCCGAGATTCTATCAGGGTCACAAGAAAAAGGCCAAGAAATGGGGCAAAATCCAGCCTTTGGACAAGGAGGCGGTTCTCCGGGCTGTTTTGCCGAACGGGTCGGCGGTTTTCCGGGTGGATTTGGATACGGAGGTGAGGTACAAGATCGTGTTCTGGAAGACGAAGAGGCACAAGATCCAGGTGGGTGCCGACGTGGAAGTCAACGACCAGGGTGAGAAAGCTAAGAAGAAGAAAGGGGTCAAGATGAGGAAATCGTCTTCTTCGCGAGGTTCTTGCCTCTGTGTTTCAGTGGTTGTTTTGATAGATCTTCTTCTGTTTCTTATGATTAGCCCTTAGCTGTTTCTCCACTTTAGATTCCATTTGTCAGATTCTTTGTTTTTTCCCCTTCAGAAAGTGTTGTTTGTTCCCACGTAATTTGGGTTTCGCCGTTTCGTGTTCTCATTCTTTGTTTTTTTTTGTCGGAGCAAAACATTCCATTGGAAAATCCGAAATTAGAAATTACAAATTTCGACTTCATATAAGTTTTATGTTTGAGACTATGGAAATCGACTCCTAAAAGACTTCAATTTTTGTGTGAAAAATTGATATTTTCCCGTTATATAATATTCATGAATTTGTATTCTATTTGTAAATTGTGAGAAAGTAGCTTACTTAGATGTGTCTTATTTGACCATGTCCACAATGTTGGTCGCCTTCAATGACCAAAGAAATAGTTATCTGTATATATAATGTGAATAATCAGCCAATATATCGATAATCGATATACGAATAAATATTTTTATGAACTTCTAATTGTGTATTATCGATATAAAAAATAGCTCGTGATAAATATAAAGTTCAAAATTTGAAGTTAAATCCTCTGATGATTTGGTAAGTAGGTCCATATTATATGTCAATCTTTCGACGGTCATGTAAAAGAAGAAAACATTTTGTCCTTTTGGCTACGGTGCATTTAGCTCAATTATTTTTTCTTCTTTTTGTCCGTCTACAAATAATAAATATAAAAAGTATTCATATAATATTTGATATTTGTAGGGTTCGAATACTTATTTTCACTATTAATGGATTAATATTGAGTAAATAGGACGAAACTGAAAAAACCCGAAAATTGAAAAGGATAATAAATTCAACATACAAAACCAGGCATAATGGAAATAGAATACATATATATACATATATAGTTTAATTACAATAAGAGTTGGACTAATTTATGTGATATTGGACAGTTTTGATTATTTATAAAATTAACCGTTCATAAAAAAAAATCATATAAAGAGTGAAAACAATATCATAATTATTGAACTGCCCTAATTTTCAAAAAATCATATACATTGTTTGATTCAATTAACAAGTATAAGTTTTGATACACATTTGGTATAGGTTTTTTTGAGTGTAGAAATAAGTTTTCTACACTCAAAAACTAATCAGACACTTGAAGAGTAAAACAGAAAAACTAATCAGTTTTATTCACTTGAAAAAACGTTACAAAAGTACAATTCACAATTACTCTTTTTCTAAAAAAATTATAAAGTTACAAAAACTTTATTAGGTTTGAATTAGAAATTGATATTGATCAAATATTTTTAAACTTCAAAATATTATGTTTAATATTTTTAAAATTTAATTTAAGAGTCCCTACTAATTTATAATTTTTTAAGAAATAATCAGAATTTAAACCATTAATTTATAACACTCCAATATCTATTATTTTTTATAGATTATTCTTAAGGTTCTTTAATTTCTTTATCATGATTGCGTTTACATGTGAGGGAGAAAGTGTTGCTTCTGTCCTATCATGAGTCCATCCCTCCTCGCCCTTTTTGATGACCTCGCAATTTGGCTATGGCAACTTGGTGACAGCCCACACACCAAGAGGGTTTATTTATTCAATTTTTTATTTATTTATTTATTTTTATTTCAGAATTACCGATAAAATTTATAAGCAAAACTATTAGATTTTTTGTTATTCAATTCAAATTGATCTTTCAAGAATGATTGCTTTTAACCAAAAAAAAAAAAAGAAGAGTTGTAACTAACAGATTAAATATTTTTAATATTATTGGTAGTAATATAGAAATTTCTAAAACTTTTGACAGATTCGAAAAATATCGTTTGAAAGTCGATAAAATAGTTATAAAGAAAAGTGAAGGGAAATTAGAAAAAAAAAAGATAATAGAGAAAGAGAATGAGAATGAAAACAATGGGCCTCTTGTCACAAAATGTTATATTATCCCAATCATCTATTGGGCATGTTTTCTTATAAAGCCATTGCTAAGTCCACTCCGGCTGCTAGCAATACCACCGAATTCCATATATCACATACATATATATGTATATATATATATCAAACATAGTAATAAAACATTGAGTAAATGGATTACCATATATTTTATTATTTATTATTACCCTTGAAATCATTGGAGAAGATAAAAATCTTGATCATCTATCTTTTTGCATGATGATTTATAACATGATTTCCTCCTATATATTCATGAGAAGCCTCGCTTAACTCGATTGGGCGGCTGGATTCCACCCTATCCAATCTGGTTAATTTGAAGAAAAAAAATGCAAAAAATCCTAAAATTGAAAAAAAAATCTATATCAATTATCTAAACTATCAAATCAAATATAAAAATTTTATAAAAATGTCTAAAAATTTTATATTTTTTTTATTAAGTTATCATATTATAAAAACAATAATTTTTTTAATGTTTTATTTGGATTTTTGGATGTGGTTAAGGTTCTTTTTTTTTAAATTAACTGTATTTTCTTTTTAAAAAATGAAGATTTATTTGGATTTATGGTTAGTTGGAGTTTTAAATGGATTTTATGAAAAGTTTTGGTTTTGGGGCTTTTTCTAACATATATATAAACTTTATTTCTATAAATCCGAGACGGGATAGAATCCTACAAGACAGCACCCATAATTGATAAACACCCAAATCGCAAAAAGAAACATATCAACAAAATCTATATATCCCTAAAAATAACAAAGCCCAAATTCGTTACATATTATATATATATATATATGAAGACTAAGAAACAAAAGAAGTCTCTAACTCGCGGGGAGGCTTTGAAATTGAGTGAACCGGAAATCAGAAGAAAACCAGGAGCAAGAATCAAGAATCAAGTGAACCGTAGTAAACCGGAACATTTGGGTGCAAATTGGTTCGATTGAAAGACGTGTTATCAATGGCAATCGAATGATCCTGACATAACCACACTATCGATCCAGACTAGAAATCAAAACGGAAGCAGAAACATTTCATATGGCTATAAACAGATAATAGCACGAAAATCATACAAAGAAAAGCGTGCAGAGCTTTAAATATAAAAAGTTCATGCCTTCGTTTTATTTCCTGAGAATATGAAATGAGTCTTAAAAGCCGAAGTTGCAGAGAAGAAATTGTACCGGACACGAAATCCCAACATCCTAAACCGGAAAAAAAAGACATGAAAATGTAACTGAAAATCCCATTTTAAAAAAAAAAAAAACATGTCACTGCTGCAATAAACGATGAGTTCAAGAAGGCTTCTGGAGATGAATGATGGTTCCATCCATGGATGTGAGCAGCAGACAAAAAGAAAGACTTGAAGATGGGTGACCTCTTCATTCATCTCCAGAAACAAAACCCAGAAATCATCATTCTCTTCTTCTTCTTCTTCTTCTTCTTCTTTCACATTCTTCCGGGGTCCACGCCTCCGTTGCCTGCTTGAGACGAAAGACATTCAGCAAAACATGAACTCGTCATGCACCTTAGATCACGATAAAGAACAAGGAGGAGGCGACCATGTTATGTATCAACTTACATGGAAGAAGGCTTTCGGTATAAGGGAAAGCGATCGGGATGAAAAACTCGACACAAGGGCTTTCCATTTTCCAGGTCTTGAGACCGAAATCGTACCTATACCAATGATCTTGAGTCACGAACAATAAGGTATCGCCGCACGAAGTTGCAGCCCTAATGACATCTTCAACTTCGAAACAGTGAATAATATCATGCTCCAATTCCCAGTCAGGTTCACCGTCCTCTTCTTTCAATATCCACACAGCCAAGTCTTGCAAATGTACAACCACTAGGCATAGAGATCCTTTCAAGTTTATCAGAAAGGTGTGCGGGGAGATTCCTTCTTCTTCGTGATAGGTCACGCCATAATCGGGTAACCTGAAAAGTTTGAAGTTTCCTTCCATGTCGGTACATAGAACACAACCCGGAGTGTCGGAGTACTTAGAAGCGACTAGCCAATAGATCTTCCCTCCGACAAAAACATGAGTAGATACATGTGTGCTACTGAAAATACGCATCGGAATTCGAGGCACTTGACCTATGCCTCTCCATGAACCAGTGCTAGATGAATAGACTTCGCATTCATAAAGGTACATTTCAGAAGATCCATCCAGGTCCACTTCGTCACCTTCTTCAAGTTCATGGTACTCTCCAGGTTCTTTCATTCCAACGCAAAATATGCGGAAAACTTTGTAGTCGCTGATATCGGGGCCGTACCCTACGCCAATGCTCGGATCTTTGTCAAGAGATGGAGTGCCCTGAGGAAGAAGTAGTGAATCTCCAGTGGCGGGATTGCAGATGCGGATTTCAAGGTCCCGCAAAAGGACATCTTCTTCGTCCTCTGCTGGATCGTTGATGCAGCATATCAATCCATTGAAAGAACACACCATGTTCAGATTTCCGCCTTTGCTGCTGCCTGGAATCGTAACGAATTGGTGACTGACCGTTTCCCTGGGCTTCATCAGGTACAGCACCATATCTGTATCCAACTGAAGACAGGCTATATAGAAAGGAGTCTCCTGTGATCGGCTTAGCTGCATATTAGTGAACTCCTTATTGCTAATTGACTTATGCCAGTACTTGCTGACACTCTTATAGGACTGAAGAGACTCTGCAGAGAACCGGGAGAGGATGTCGACGAAGACGTCTTTCGTAGATTCTATCTGATTCCATTTCTCTCCCAATATTCGATGGGCACGCATTGCACGAGTTTCAACCATTTTCTATTTTCCCAGTCGCTGTTTGCCTGCATCAAACAAAGGTTTAGGAATGGATATATATACTTGCAATGACATGCAGGACTATGTGGGGGACGAGTTTATAGTAAAATCCGATGACTAGGCAGCCACTGTATGAAAATGACGGACCGAGAAATGAACGGGAATCACAACAAAGATATGACTGGATTTATCATTTGAAGTAAAGCTTGGATGACATATAAACGGAATTATGAAAATTTGCATTCAACCAGAGAATCAATTGGAAGGGCTCGTAAAGACAACGAGAGATAAGAAAAGAAATAGTCATGAAGACGGATTAGAGTAAGGAAACACGATACACCTGCATGCAGTTTAGATATTTCACGGGAACAGAACGAATCGATCAACATATTACCTTCCTATATGCAGTCATAAGCATATTAAACGATCACACACAACAATCCTAGATGAATATCAGATATGAAAGCCAAAATATGACAGAAAATAGTCTGAAATCAAATCGAATGTGGCATATTTAGATCCGACATATTAAATCAGGAAAGAAAAGGCGAACTCACCAAGAGGCCTTGTTGGATTTGAAATGATCCACAGAGAATCCAGACAGCCACCGAGAACAAAGTAGACAAGAGAAAAGAGTCCGCCTTTGTTGCGGTGATAAAAAATGAAATCAGGTCCGACGGCAAAATTTATAGACAAGAGGCTGATGTTTTCACGTGTAGGGGTAGGTTGGGTATGCTGAAACAATAAAAGCCAATAGACGCGAATCCAGTCAAAGGATTCCCTATTTAATTTTTTCTCTTTTCGTCTAGAATAATGTGGCCCTGTAAGATTGTATTCCATTGCTGATAACAACAACGGCGCTACAATGGTTTTTCAAGAACCAAATTTGGTATTTCGGCATATAGAAAGATGCTATCAATACCATGGATGTAAAATTCAGTCAAGAATAAATAATCCATATATAGCATCATAGTGAAATTGAGTCGCATACCGCAAATCAGGGATATATCATTTCATATCACTTTTGACTACATGGAAGACTAAATAGATTTTGTGCACGCACGGAAATATTTACTCCATTGCCAATGATACATATGGACAATAATTTGGAATTTTATTGATACCATAATGTGGTGAGCAGGACTTGACCGTAAAAGGGTGACCAACATATGAACATTAACCCGAAAAAGCTAAAACCGGTGCAAAAGTGGGGGGGGGGGATGGAAGAGTTTTAGATTGCACCATTTCAAACATGTTCATATTTACCAACAAGGTTTAGCAGAAAATCCATATATCCTATGCAAACATAACCAAAAGCTCTTGAAAAATAGCAAAGAAAAAATTGTTTCAAGGTTAGCAGCATATTAAAGATTACCATTCAGTCTGATGAATCACAACCTTCTTCAGCCCAAATTATTTATTTGAATTCAGCTCAGATAGCCTTTTGCAGACTCCAGAATAAATGCCGGTTGATTTCATTCAGAGTTGCAACTCATGCAAAGCATTTGATTATCATGCTAATGAAGTATTTCATTTGCCATCATAGATATATAACCAGTCCTTACAACCACATGTACTTTTAACATTGTAAAGAACAACTAGTACTATTTAGGATCATAAACGGTAAGAAACTATCTCTAACGAATTTTTTTGAAAACTCGAAAATATACACTATACATGGTGAGAAAAAAGAAGACATGACAAAAAAAAAAATAAAATCAAAAGGAATAACAAAAAGTATAGATTTGGAAAGGTTTTTCTTATGTCAAACATAAGCAAGAGTTTAAATTAAAGATTCTGGAGATTTTTCTTCTCATTCAATCTCAATTTGATGGTTTTCAGTATACAGAGAGTACATACATACATATAAAGAAGCAATAGCATAATCAAAAGCACAACAAGAGATCTCCAAACTTACTAGAGTGGGCATAGATTCTTCACCAATTCTCCAACTCCAAGTCATGATATTCCAAAGCAAAAGTCCCAATTAGCCATGAAAACAGTCCCTCTTTCCTCCAGCTTTCCCTATGAAAAAAAGGTCAAAATTCACATAAATGGAGCAGCAAGCAGAGAAAGGCAACATCATCCACGAATTGCAACCTCCACTGAAGTAAACCAAAATCGTGAAATTCAAATCAGAATCGTACTTTAATGGCTGTCATTTCAGAAAGTAGCCGAAACACATAACTCTCATTCAGAGTTAACGAACATTAACAAGAAAAGAATAGCGGGATAAAGCCCTACCTCATTAATGCGAGAATCCGACGAGAGATTCCGGTGAAAAGCAGTGAAGATTCCCAAAATTGGGAAGAATTTGTCGAGTTCCATAGAATTTTGTTTTCTTCTTAAGGAGAGAGATTGCCTTCAGACGAATTTGGAGAAAACGTGCTATGAAAGAGGATACCGTCTCTGTTGCCGATTTGGAACTCCTAAACCGGCGCACTTCAAACCTAAAATCAAATGCTTCCCTTTCAACCAAAACAACAGCGCAATAGCGGTCAACCTTTTCTCATAGTCTGATTAGTCTCAATGACAAGCCCCTTGGCAAAAGGGGATTTTACTCAAATGAGTGAGTTGCGTCGTTTCAGAGGTACACCACCGAAAATATAATCTATTAAATTTTTTTTGAAAAGACAATGTTACTTAAATGAATCCGTGTAATCTGTTCGTTCGAAAATAACTTTGTTATTGTGACTTCATAATTAATTCTAAATACAGTTGCAATTGATTCTAAACAAGGTGACAAAAAATTCATCTGTCAAAATTTAAAAATAACTACGTTTTTTTGGCACTTTCATCTTCATATACAATCATAACTACTTCTTATTTTAGTTGTATATTAGTTATATGTTAGTCGTTATAAAGTCATAAAAAAATGGAAAAAAGGATATCTCGGACTTTTTCAACCGAAAAGTGGTGTAAAAGTTGAAAAAAAAAATTGTTTTTTTGAGTGGTGTACCAATGAAATTCGTGGGACCAAGTTGGTCATTTGAGTAAAATGCCCTTGGCAAAGAGCCTATATAATATATTCCCAATAATTTTTAGGGTGTAAAAACGAGCTAGCTTGCAACTCGCAAGAAAATGAGTGAGTCGAGTCACGATTTTTTCGGCTTATTTAAAAGCGAGTTTGGCGAGCCAACTCATTGCATTTTTGGTCGTAACGAACTAGTTCGGCGAGGTGGTGAACTGTTCAACGAACTGATTTTTTTTTAAATAATTAAATCTATTACTATTATTTATTAATTTATATATCATATATTATAATAGAAAAACTCTAAAATAACTTTATATTATTTTTTTTATACCACTCATGTGATATTTTAAATATCTCAATTACTATGATTGTGATAATATAAAATATTAAATGAAAACAGAGTATATTGATATATATTTTATTATTATTATCTTGTTAACTTGTTTTTTTATTGGAACATATTGAATTGTTTTTTTTTTATCTTTTGAAACCAGACAGCCGCCGAGAGCAAAGTAGACAAGAGAAAAGAGTGAGCCTTTGTTGCAGTGATAAAAAATGAAATCAGGTCCGACGGCAAAATTTATAGACAAGAGGCTGATGTTTTCACGTGTAGAGGTAGGTTGGGTGTGCTGAAACAATAAAAGCCAATAGACGCGAATCCAGTCAAAAGATTCCCTATTTAATTTTTTCTCTTTTCGTCTAGAATAATGTGGCTATGCAAGATTGTATTCCATTGCTGATAACAACAATGGCGCTACAATGGTTTTTCAAGAACCAAATTTGGTATTTCGTCATATAGAAAGATGCTATCCATACCATGGATGTAAAATTCAGTCAAGAATAAATAATCCGTATATAACATCATAGTGAAATTGAGTCGCATACCGTAAATCAGAGATATATCATTTCATATCACTTTTGACTACATGGAAGACTAAATAGATTTTGTGCACGCACGGAAATATTTACTCCCTTGCCAATGATACATATGGACAATAATTTGGAATTTTTTTGATACCTTAATGTTGTGAGCAGGACTTGACCGTAAAAGGGTGACCAACATATGAACATTAACCCGAAAAAGCTAAAACCGGTGCAAAAGTGGGGGGGGGAGTGGAAGAGTTTTAGATTGTCCCATTTCAAATATGTTCATATTTACCAACAAGGTTTAGCAGAAAATCCATATATCCTATGCAAACATAACCAAAAGCTCTTAAAAAATAGCAAAGAAAAAATTGTTTCAAGGTTAGCAGCATATTAAAGATTACCATTCAGTTTGATGAATCACAACCTTCTTCAGCCCAAATTATTTATATGAATTCAGCTCAGATAGCCTTTTGCAGACTCCAGAATAAATGCCGATTGATTTCATTCAGAGCTGCAACTCATGCAAAGCATTTGATTATCATGCTAATGAAGTATTTCATCTGCCATCACAGATATATAATCAGTCCTTACAACCACATGTACTTTTAACATTGTAAAGAACAACTAGTACTATTTAGGATCATAAACGGTAAGAAACTATCTCTACCGAATTTTTTCGAAAACTCGAAAATGTACACTATACATGGTGAGAAAAAAGAAGTCAGGACAAAAAAATCAAAAGGAATAACAACAAGTGTAGATTTGGAAAGGTTTTTCTTATGTCAAACATAAGTAAGAGTTTCATTCAATCTCAATTTGATGGTTTTCTGTATACAGAGAGCACATACATACATAAAAGAAGCAATAGCATAATCAAAAGCACAACAAGAGATCTCCAAACTTACTAGAGTGAGCATAGATTCTTCACCAATTCTCCAACTCCAAGTCATGATATTCCAAAGCAAAAGTCCCAATTAGCCATGAAAACAATCCCTCTTTCTTCCAGCTTTTCCTATGAAAAAAAGGTCAAAATTCACATAAATGGAGCAGCAAGCAGAGAAAGGCAACATCATCCACGAATTGCAACCTCCACTAAAACCCTAAAACCATGCATGTATGATCTTGTAGAAACGTTAGAACGCTTACCTCAATCGATCTGAGACCTGTATCAATTGAAGAGTTCGTCCGATCACTGAAGGGAGGAAGAATACCTCGCCCTCTACACGTATCCACACGGAGGAAAAGATTCCAACGGTTGGAACTTGTCTGTTAGGACTGAAGAACACCTTCTTCTTTGCGCAAGAGTTTCACGGATTAATACCTCTTGTTTCTCTCTCTCAAAACCTCTGGAAAAGGTCTGAAAAACACTACAATAAAATGGTCATTTCCAATGGGTAAATCCATTGGAAATGGCCAAATTTCCGTTAGAAATTAACGTTTCCAACGGATTTATCCGTTGAAATTTCGTCGTTAGAAATCGGTATCGGTTGGAAAACCGTTTGAATTTTCAACGGAATTTCAACAAATTTTTCCGTTGGAATTTTCCAACGGATTTCCAACCGGCATCCGTTGGAATTTTCCAACGGATTTTCAACCGCAATTTCGGTTGGAAAATTCTAACGGAATTTCCAACCGTAATCCGTCGGAATTTTCCAACGGAATTTCCAACCGATATTCGTTGGAATTTTCCAACGGAATTTTCAATCGCATTCCGTTGGAATTTTCCAACGAAAAATTCGAAACATATTTCCGACCCGACCCGACCCGACCCGACCCGACCCGACCCCGACCCCGACACCGACC